CGGATTTTGTACGGATAAAATTTTCGCTTCGAATTTTCATTTTAAAACCGTGCTTTTATTCAACTCACTGAAATTTTCTTTTTGGAAAAGAACAAGTTTTGCAACTTTTTAGGTTTAAAATTTTGTTCCCACACACCGACTGCTTGTGTCTGTGCCAGTTTAATGCGCTTCACAAATGAGTGTCTCATATGCGAGGGGCTCTGACGGCTCAACACCCTCTGCAACGAGTACATTAGCTGGTGCTACCGGACCGAATTCATTCGCTTTTCCACCTTCCGGAGGTCGTGGTCGACGATATCCAGGCAGTGGTTACGCATCGCCAGGCTCTCGATCCATCGTCAGCAACGGGTTCGTTTTTTTTTCTTAATTTTTTTTAGAAGAAAAACGATTTTGAGCCTCATACAAACATTTTGAGCATCATAAGCGGAAATCTTATTACCGAACTTCCTCTCTGTTCGGTCCTCCATGCATCTCCTAAATTTTGCCATGGCTGTTGTGCTTATGAGGTCCAGTTACAGGTGTTGAGTTAAGACGTACATGACTCAGTGGGCCAAAACATTTCATCTCTTCAGAAATTTTGCTTTCCTTCTTTCTGTCTCTTCTCCGGCTTTGTTGTAGCTTTTTAATATGTAATAAAATGCTATGAATACTTAGACTGGCCATAACTTATGGTCTGTTTAGTCCTCCAGCCATATAGATGGCAAGCTTTGTTCAGTGCTATTTCTTGCGCCATATAAGCATTTCGTGTGAAGTTTTTTTTTTCTCGCTGCATAAATTAGCGCATATTTGCAGATCTGTGGATCGTGTGGGATGTTTTACAGCTGTCAGGATGACTGCAGTGGCGAAACTGAATCGTTATTTCCGAAGACTTATTCGTTTCCGGCAAATGGATTTTGAATTTGCGCTATGGCAAATGATTTATCTGCTTATCAAACCACAAAAAGTTTACCGCAATTTCATGTATCGTAAACGTTCGTTTTTCATTTTTTAATGTGTTTTTTCACATATCCAAATGCAAAAACTAGGCAAACAAGAAAGCTTCGAAATTGAAATTTTTTGCCA